CTATATTTTGTGGAGTTCATTCATGGATAATATCTCTACTAATCTGTTTAGTAAACAATCCAACTTGATTCAATAAATGTGTTATATTCTTAAAAACAAAGTACGATGTTACTTGAAGTAAATTAAGCAAAAGTTCTTAAGTGAGGAACAGGCACATAAGATGTGTTACTGGAGAAGTTATCTCCAAATCGATGGCCATCTTGATGAGTACAGTCAAAATTAAAACACATTCATAACTATAGTTGCATGACTGGCATATAAATGAGGTTTAAGAGGAATCAATTTTTTTATTCTTTGTAAGAATGACTCATTTTCTAGTTACTATATTGCACTGTTGCCAAAAGCACCGAGTCGTGGGCTGGGAAATAGAAGTGGCTCAAAAGACAGTAACGTAATTTAGGATGACCTTATAACTAGACAAAATTTATTACAAATGTATTTCATACATTTAGGAGAAAAAAATAAAATTTTTAAACACCAATAACCCTCCCAGATAAACTTTTGCTACTTATATATTCTGTGTTTTCAGTGACTTGAAAATTTGGTTATCAATCAGACTATTATGCCGATTTACCTTAATCAGATTCTTAGGTGTTGTGTTATGCATAAAGACATTCAGTTTATTTTGGATTGACTCTTACTTTTACTAAATACTACAAAGCAACTACAATAACCATTATGGCTCCTGTAGCAATACCATACTTAATTTAATATAGATGGGTGAAGAGTGTTAACAGATAGCTGTAGAGTTATGGGTAAGTCCGAGTTAAAAATGAAACTACCTTTCTGTGTCATTCAGACATTTTTTTTTAACATTCTCCCAACATTTGACTTAAGGATAAACACACAGTTTCTTTGGATATTGTAATGTCTGTGTATTGTTCCATGTATAATTTGTATAAAAATTAGAATATTGACTTTTAATTCATCTTTATTGTAGAAGTTTTTATATGCTATGCCATGAGTTTCCTATGTTTATATTTAACAAAAATGGTAGAGATGAAAGTTGAAAGTCACACCATGCCACTTGTTTCAGTTTCTCATGTTTACATTGTTGCTAGAAGCTGTAGAAGTTCCTATATGAAAGTCACACCATGTCACTTGTTTCAATTTCCTATGTTTACATAGTTCCTAGAAGCTGTAAAAGTTCCTATATGAAAGTCACACCATGCCACGTGTTTCAGGTTCTCATGTTTACATAGTTCCTAGAAGCTGTAGAAGTTCCTATATGAAAAGTCACACCATGCCATGTGTTTCAGTTTCTCATGTTTACATAGTTCCTAGAAGCTGTAGAAGTTCCTATATGAAAGTCACACCATGCCATATGTTTCAATTTCCTGTGTTTACATAGTACCTAGAAGCTGTAGAAGTTCCTATATGAAAGTCACACCATGCCACTTGTTTCAATTTCCTATGTTTACATTGTTGCTAGAAGCTGTAGAAGTTCCTATACGAAAGTCACACCATGCCATGTGTTTCAGTTTCTCGTGTTTACATTGTTGCTACAAGCTGTAGAAGTTCCTATATGAAAGTCACACCATGACATGTGTTTTAGTTACAAATTTTTACATAGTTCCTAGAAGCTGTAGAAGTTCCTGTATGATAGTTATACCATGCCATGTGTTTCAGCTTCTTATGTTTACATAATTCCTTGAAGCTGTAGAAGTTCCTGTACAAAAGTCACATATGTTTACATAGAGAAATGACAAAGTTCTTAAAAAATTTGTGTAGTGGGCTATTTTTTTTTCTGTAACAGAGATTCAAGGAGATTCTTTCAGAAAGTTCATGGAGTTACAGTGTCATTATTTTAATGTTTAAAAGGTCTATAACACAATGGTAAACATCTCTTGATTTCAGTTCTTAATAACATAATTTTTCTTGAACTTGTTGTATTTGTTGCATCATAGACATAACAGAAAAGTTGACAACTTAAGAAAACTGTTGCTAAGTGTCAAAACAATGTTGTTGTGATACTGACTTGTGCCAAAGCAAGTTATAATATGTACAGTTCTGTATTGTATAAAAACTGGTATCATATTAATAGCTTTAGCAACTGATCAGAAAGAGTATTTTTTGTCTTACAGATCAAAAGGTATGAAAAACTAGAGACAGTTGAAGAGAGGAGACAAGCTGCAAAAGAAATATACGACAATTTTGTAATGAGGGAACTGCTTTCTCATACCCATGCAAGTTTTAAATTTATCACTTTGTAAATTTCATTCACTAATGTGTACAATAATTAAACAGTTTCTACAATAAACCTTAATAAAAAGCCACATTACAGTTATTGAATTATTAATGTGTGAAACACACAAGATATATTGAACTTGTTGAACCCGTAATGTAACTCTTCAATACTTGTTGTAACCATGCATTATTTTCTATAACTCTTCAACACTTGTTGTAACCCTGCATTATTTTCAATAACTCTTCAACACTTGTAACCATGCATTATTTTGTTACTCTTCAATAGTTGTAACCCTACATTACCTTCTGTAACTCTTCCATATAACTTGTAATGGTGCATTACTTTCTTCAGTTCTTCATTACAGTTTTGTAACCCTGAATTTTTTCTGCAACTTTTCAATACTTGTTGTAACACTCCATTACTCTTGTAAATTTCCATTGTACATTGTAATCCACCACAGATGGCAAATTTGTAATCCAATACATGTTGTAACCATCCACAGATAGTAGATTTTTATGTAATTCATTATACTATTTGTAATACTTAATAGACATTGGACTCTTTTTACATGTGTTTGGTCTCTACTAATTTATATTCTTCTTATAACTTTCAACAAATAGTAGACTTTTGCCATTCTGAACATTGTAACTTTTCTCGTCTACATTTTCTTATTTACTATTCATAACTTAAGAATACATTTTCTTTCTCAGTGCTTTATAATGAGTATGTTGTTGAAGCGTTAGTACATACACCTTTTTGATAATTAGATTTCTCATAAGCATTTTCTTTAAAACAGAATTATTCCAAAGAAGCTGTTAGTCATGTACAGAAGTACTTAATGAGAAATGAAGTACCAGTTAACTTGTTTCAGGTAGGTCTTAGTTTCTTTTACTATTAACTCGTTAACTTGATAGAACTGAAGTGCGGAATAGACGTTTCATTCTAGCAGTGTGCATGTTGCTATTTTTCAGTTTTTGTCATATGATTAGTACTTTTCTTTTATTCTAGAAAATAACATGATACACATTCAATGTGGTGAATAAAAAACAACTCAAAACACCATCCATGTAACTTACATCAAACCACTAATGCAAGAAATATAAGAAGTCTAGTCTTGTTCTTTTGATTTGTCATTGTCCAGGGATATTGGTGAATAACTCCCCCCCCCCCAAAAAAAAATAAATAAATGGTATATCTCAGTGACAAGGGGTAAATCAAACTACTGACTGGGCTTCATATTTATTTTTAGTATTTCAAACAGTCTGTCTGCAGAATAATTCAGAAGAATAAATTAGTGGCATTAATGCTATATATTCTTCATAGAGTTCACAGTGGTGAGTAAAAGACAACTCAAAACACCATAAATATAATTAATATGCATGAGTTTACAGTCAGGAGGGGGGGGAGGATAAAATCAGTCTATTTTGATTTTTTGGGTTTGATTATCTTTTTCTTGTTGTTGTTGGTGTTAGGAGGTTTTGGGTTTCATTATATTTTTTTGTTGTTGGTGTTGGGAGGTTTTGCTTTCCATTAAATTCCATTGAAATAAAATAAGATAATATTTCATCCATAACTGTATCTAGTTTATTCATAACTCTGTGATACAATCTTTTACAGAGTTGTGAGTTTGACTTTTTAAAGCTAAAATCTGTGAGACTCACTTAGCAAATTTAAGTGAAGTTTTCAACCCCAGTTATTTGGAAATTAAAAAATATCTTTAAATATTGTACATCATCTTAAGTAAAACAAACACTATTTTCTTGTAACCTGCAAAAATTATGCATATTTGACTTTTTTTTTAATATTTCAGATCTTATTTTGTTTCTCTGGATGTTTGTTTTTTATCTTAGCTCATGAGTCCAGATGTCAGTTCACAGTTTTTATTTTCGTGTTTTATGATAACTAAAGATATGTCACAGTTCTAAGTGGTTACAGCTGTAAGAGAGAGAAAATGAGGTTGTAGTTTTTTGGATCTCTAATGGACTGTACTGCGTTATTACTTCACTAGAACATTATTTTGGTCTCTTACTTCAACACAGACGCTGAAACATTATCCCCCTTAAATAACAAGGCAGGAGTATTACATTACAATGTTTGTGCTACCTGAAATGCCAGTGAAATAAAATGAGGTTAGAGTTTCAGCCCAACAACTATCATTGGGAAATTTTCTTTTGATAATGATAAGAGAGAGAAAGTATGGTCATTATTATAGTGAACCAACTTTCATCAGTATTTTCCTTGTTTGATGTGAGAAGTGTTGACCAAATTACTTCTGTTTCTCTCTTTCTCCCACAGCTATTTTACTGATTTTTTTTTTTAAGTTTTGAGATTTAGAACCCATTGTTGTTACACTTCTTTGCAACCTAGAGATCTAATACTGCATAATACAGGAATCATGAGTTACAAATGTCTTTATAAGATAATCATATTAATTTCATCTAAAGTTTCATACATTGATTTGAATATATATGGAACACAAAACCCAAGTGATAAGAGTGTAACTTTGATCATCATTCTTTAAACTTAGTTTTCTATAAAACAACTAACTCCTAACTTTTTCTTAAATGGAATCTTTGATCTTCAAAGTGAAATGATTAACTTATTTAACTATCTGTTAAAACATTAACTGCGGATGACGGATATTTCCGTCATTGAAGTTCTATGGCTCAGCTGCGAATGACGGATATATCGTCAGTCGCACATGTATAACTATAACTCTATGCGAAAGACGATAAATACCGTTTTATTGTGATTGATGGCAACTCAGTTTTATCTGTTAGTCAGAAAATGGCAACTGAGCTGCTCCTGCAACAGTTAATGGGTTAAGCAAACAAAAATTTCGTGTTGGAAATATAACTGAAGCATTTGTGGTAGTATTCACACATGTCTTTACAAGTGTTTGTTTAGATGATTTGAGAACTTGTGACATTATTAATGAAAACTGATTACCATGCTTTAAAGTTCTGGTATTTGAATGATCCAACTTGTTTGTTAAAATTTATCTTAATTTTTAAGGTATATTTTTCCATCGTTTATTTATTTTCTCATTTCCCTACACACTTTTAGTGCAACATGCCTTTCTGTTAATTTTAGCCATACATAGAAGAAGTTTTTAGGCATTTAAGAGGAGACCTGTTTAGAATGTTCATTGAAAGGTAAGAACATTTATTGTATGATTTTCATTGCTGTTATTCAACTATAAGGTATTTTTTATGCTAGATTGTTGTTACTAATTCAATATGCAATACTGTTTCATATTTTATTGCTTTATATTAACAAATGAAATAGTTTCAGTTTTATTACTTAACATCTGTAAAATATTGTATCAGATTTCATTGCTGTTACTAAGCAAATGAAATACTGTTTCATTTTATTACTTAACATATATAAACTGTTATTTTATTTCTGTTGTGCAAAATGTATAACAAAATTACTATTTCATGTTTTTCACTATTACTAAACATGTATAAGCTACTGTTTCATGTGTTGTCACATACTCAACATATATAAATTATATTTTCATGTTATGTTGCTGTTATTTCAACTTGTAATTTGAAATGGTAATAAAACCATAATATAAAGCACTAAAGTCATAATTTATCATAGATTTGAAAAGTTTTTTTATGGAGGATCTCTATTCAAGTAGTATTGTATGTATTCTAGACTTTATATAAAAACTAGATCCAATACTTTCAAATAATCTAAGTGATATTTCAGTTAGTAACTAGCTCAAATTCTTAGTATCTATGTCATTGTTCTTTTTTTTTATTTAACAAAATGTTTGATTTTCTTTTCATAGTGATTAACATCACTTAATGATGACAAAATAAAAGTGAAATGAAATAATTTTTAAACTATCAGGACAGAGAAAGTTTAATAATTTGATAAAGAAGTTTTTTTAAAGGTAATGCCTTGTTCAACATTTTGTTTAGAATGTGTACTGAAGTTTTGTCGAAAACATGATGGGAATCCATTTATCTATTGATGTTTCTTTGGTTTTCAGTGAGAAATACACACGGTTTTGTCAGTGGAAGAATTTAGAGTTAAACATTCAGGTGAGAATGAAATTTTCACAAGTTCAGGTATACAGTTGAGAACTTCAAGTAAAGGCCAAGTACCTCATATGCAGTGATTCTCAACTTTTATCTTAGACTGAGATGAATACTTAATCATATTGTATGCCAAAATTTTGAAGATAAAACAAATAAAAGGTCAGGTTTTAGAGAGGAAAACTACCACCATATACTTTAAAGAATCTGGTTGGTTCTGTAAACTATAGGTCTGTTCCAAATACTAGGTTTGCTATCCTAAAGCTTATGTTGGTTACTATTGGGTGTCATTTTCTTACCTGCTGTGGTTTATTGGTCTGTATTGACAAAAAGTCATGATATCTAATCAAAAACACCTTAGGTGTCAAAAAAAGATGCAGCCAAAAAAGGATTGAGTGTGTGACTTAGCTAGGTTGTATATTTTGTTTTACCCACCACCATGCCCCAAATTGAGCATAAAATGCAGCCTAGCTAACTAATGAATGAATATTTGCTGTAAAATCCTTATCAATGCTATAAGTGTAGCTACCCATTTTGCCACCAATTTTGATTTCATTACTTTAAGTCACATGCTTAATCCTTTTTTGGCTGCACCTTTTTTTCACATCTAAGGTGTTTTTTATTAGAAAGTTCTTCATCAAGAGGTAATAGTGATCAGTTGGGTCTTTCTCATTATAGTTCTTTATCAAGAGATTCATGTGAATAGTGAAGTCTTTCTCATTATAGTTCTTTATCAAGAGATTCATGTGAATAATGAAGTCTTTCTCATTATAGTTCTTTATCAAGAGATTCATGTGATTAGTGAAGTCTTTCTCATTATAGTTCTTTATCAAGAGATTCATGTGAATAGTGAAGTCTTTCTCATTATAGTTCTTTATCAAGAGATTCATGTGAATAGTGAGGTCTTTCTGATTATAGTGCTTTATCAAGAGATTCATGTGAATAGTGAGGTCTTTCTGATTATAGTGCTTTATCACAAAATTCTAGTGATCAGTTGGGCCTTTCTCATTATAATTCCTTATGAAGAGATTCAGGTGAACAGTGGGGACTTACTGGCTGTTGTGCTTTATCAGTAGATTCTATTAACAGTGGGGACTTTTTGATTATAGTTCTTTATCAAGAGATTCTAATGAACATCTGGGACTTTCTGATAGTTATTTACCAAGAGATTCAGGTGAACAGTGGGGTCTTTCTGATTTTAGTACTTTATCAAGAGATTCAGGTGAACAGTGGGGTCTTTCTGATTTTTGTATTTTATCAAGAGATTCAGGTGAACATTTGAGTCTTTCTGATAGTATTTCTTTATCAAAAGATCAGGCGGGTCTATCTGATTATAGTTCTTTATCAAGAGATTCTGGTGAATGGTGGGGTAGAGCTTATGTGTAAAATATGAATATTTCAAAAACATTTTTTTTTTTATTTAAGGGCTTAGTTTATACTTTATTTAATAAGCTCTACTTTGAATTTAGTAAGTTTTATATAGTCAAAGTTTTAAGCAAATGAAAAAATTCTTGTTGAACATCTACTGTGAAGTAATTGTGGTAGTAGTATCAACACCTACTACTAGTTAGTGCTTTTATAACTTGGTATATTTTGAACTGAGGACTCACTTGTGACCGAACTAATAAAATGTTTCTATCATACTTTAAAGTTTTATTGCTTGAGAAGCTAGCTTGTTTGTTAACTTAATTATTGAAAGTTGTATTTCAGTGGCAATAGAAAAATGTGAATGGAGAGTGATACTTTAACAGCAGAAAAGTGTAATTAGAAGCTGTTTTTAGCACTTTTTACATACCTATCTAAAGTCTAGGTTACTGTTGATCTAGATGTAGACTTAAGATAATAAAATATTAAACTTTATTAGATATGATAAAGAAATTAGTAATTACTTGTACTTGATCAAGCCTAGGGTATTATAAGTTTTTGTTACAATCAGATGTTTTTATAGACTGTAAGTGCCTAAGTGCCATTGCTGGTGAGTAAGAGTATCAAATAAAATATGTTTAACACATTAATAAAGGCAAACAAATAGAATACAAATAACTACCTTGTAAAGCTGGGTTGCTTTAACATTGAAAGATTCACGTTAAGATTTGAGAGTGAAAAGCTAAATATGTTATCATAAAAGCTTACTGAGATAAGTTAGCTTCTATAAAAGATTCTAAATTTGAAAAAAAAAAGCATGTCATAAGACTAGAAAAATGTGGTGATTTTAAATGAATGTTGTTTTTTCTAGTTGACAATGAATGACTTCAGTGTTCATAGGATCATTGGCAGGGGAGGGTTTGGTGAAGTGTATGGATGTCGGAAAGCTGATACTGGAAAAATGTGAGTTTGATGGAATGAAACTGCTTGAACATCAGCTGTTTGGAAAGAAGAAAAACACTTATAGGGTGGTTACAAAAGTTTCTTGGCTAATTCACTAGAAATAGTTACCAGAGGGCTCTGTCTGGTTCGATATTTCCACCATTCATGTCAGTGATGTCCTGCATCTTTGGGATGATGTGACAGAGCTGAAAATGGCTACCCTTCTGGATGACCCACTTGATTTTTAGGTTATGTGGATACCTTAAGTCAGTTGTTCATTTTGAAGCATCTGCAACATTGGCAGACTTGACAAATGTTAACAGATAGAATTTGCCCATATTTAATAATCAACAGTTTTTTTCAGTTGTCTTTCATGTCATTCCAAAAATGCTAGCCATTGTTGACATGAACAGTGGCCACATCAAGCAGATGTGACTATATCCATTGACCATGTTTGTGTTTTTTTTGTGGACTCTTTGGTATATCTACCAAAAACTATTAGTCTAAGAAGAACAATATTCATTTTATGGAAGTTCAAACATGCCAAGAAACTTTAGGAACCCTGTATAATGTAATAATCACAGACAATATACATGTTTATCAGTGTCAGTATTATGTAACAGTTATTTTTGAAGAATACTGGAGAGATGCATTAGTTTGTAAAGTCTGGCTTCTGTTTAAAAAGTTAGTTCCTTCAAAATATTAAATAGTTAAATTTAAATAATCTTCCATTGTTATATGACTTTGTAAAAAGATGAAACAAACTGTATCTTTTAGGTATGCAATGAAGTGCTTAGACAAAAAGAGGATAAAGATGAAGCAAGGAGAGACATTAGCTTTGAATGAAAGAATCATGTTGAGTCTAGTCAGTACAGGGGTAAGTGTTAAGTTTTACACACACACATCTGAATTTATTACTGGGATGAGTTTTAACTACAGACTGAATAAGCTTCACACTTGTTTTGATGATAATGATGAGATGATAATATTTTCACATAACTAACTATGTCTGTTTTCAGGCTGCCTGCCCCTTCATCGTCTGTATGACCTATGCTTTTCAAACTCCTGATAAACTTTGCTTTATTTTAGACCTAATGAATGGTAAGGATATTTAGCAGTTATTATCGTTATACATAATTCATTGTCTGTAACATTATAAGGAGAGAAACACCTTTCATGAAGGGGCAGGTGACAATGATCACCCTACAGTGAAATTTAGGAGTGTCATTAAAAGTGAGTACATAAGCATGAAAGAACAAGCAGTTAGTCTTGGCTCTTTGATGAAATATACAACTACCAAACAAAGTAAATTGAACAAGCCATTTGTGTTAGTAACAAAAGAAAACTTGAAACAGTGCTTTGGTTGCAGTAATCAGCAGTTTCTAAAGTCAGGTGAACAAGAACCAATAAACCAATGTGAAACCAGTTCTTAGAAGCAGCAAAAATTACTTCCATGACAGAACTTGCAATAATAAATGTACCACAATAATTTTACTACACAATGCATATCAGTAGACAAATGGTCGTAATTTTATCTTTATCCAAATACACTTTATATTAGAAATATAGTGTCAGCCAAAAAAAAAAGAAGAAAAAATGCATAATTTTAGTGTTGTCATGTCATGATTCCCATATTCAGTGGCAGTTTAAGAGTCAATAAAGCTTTGAGCACGTTTATTTGATGTAATATTTAGTGAAAGTCCATAGTACATCTCATAATAATATAATATTCAGGGACAACAAGGGACCTTTTGGTCTAACTATGCTGTTCCATCCACTAAACTTATAATTCATATATTTATCAAGCCTTCTATAAACTCACTTAAATTTATTGCCTCCACCACATCTGAATGCAACCCATTCCATAGGCAACCACCCTGTTAGAAAAATAAAACTATCTTAGTTGAAGAAGGCTCATACCATACCAAAATTTATATTTGTGCCCCCTAGTCCTACCATTATCACCATTAATTATCCCTATGAAGATGACCTACTAGTTTTGTAAGTAGGTTATGTAACTCTCCTGAAAATTGTCTACAAAAATGAAACTAGTTGATGAAATTGTTTGAAATTCGACATGAAAGTTCCTAAAAGTATATAGTTTCAGAAAAATATTTAATTTTGATTTTCTATTATTTTAATAAAAAATTCAGTATTTAATGTAGTTATCTACACCCTGACTCTGAATAATTAACATGCAAAATGATTTTTATTTTGAGTATAAAAACACTGTTTAATATCTGAGTTTCACATTTCATTTGCCTAATCTCTAAAGCCTCTTAAATGAATATCAAAAGTTTTTAAGGTAAATGCTTATATTTTATTTTCCATTTCCTCTACAATATTGTTAACTCTAGCTATTATCATCAACATACGGTGCAATGAAATGTTTAAAATTAAGAAGCGTAATTATATACATATCTTTTATCTTTTCATTGAATCATATGAAGAGACAAGCAACTAATCCAAAGGTTGTATTTGCTTAATAAAACAATGTAGTTAACCTATTTTATGATTTACCAAATAAGTTGAATTATAGCTAAGCCTAAAGTAGTGTTACAGTCATAAGCCTAATCTAACATTACAGTACAGGTTACATCATTAAGCTCTAATTTAAAGCTTTAAACTACTATTTTTATTTACCAGTCTTAAATCTAATTATTTTTTTGTCAATTAACCCAAATTACTACAAATAAGAATACTAATGTTAGGTGATATTCAAAAATCTTCAAGAGCTAGCTTTCTAACATCTTCTCTCTTCTGTAACACTCTATGCTCTCTATTTTCCTAGCTTTTGACATAATTTTGTGGAATTGTGTATTTAATTAGAGAAATTACTAACTGTGTCTTCCAGTTGTTGGTCTTAGCATAGCCTGGTGGTTAAGGTGGGTGACACATTACCTGTGGGTTGCAAGCTCAAAACCCTTTCAGCCATGTGGGTATTATAATGTGAATGTAAATCCCACTATTTATTGGGCAAGAATAGCCCCCAAAGTTGGTGGTGGATAGTTTTGACTAGGTGCCTTCCCTCTAGTCTATTACTTCAAAGTTAGGAGCAACTAGCACAGATAGCTCTTGAATAGCGTTGCACAAAACTTGAACAAAAACAAACAATAGAAGTCTTTCAGTTGGTGATTTGATTTAATTACTAATGTTCCTGAGAGTTTTGTTTTAAATTGGATGAACCAAATGAAGGATTATCAATAACATATCACAGTGTGATTTGAATGAAAAGATATGTACTTTTATTTGTTTAACATGATTTATGGTTCAATAACTTTAGTAATGTTCTGTGTATATCTGTAGATTGTAACTTACGTTGTCAATGGTTACAGCATGGTTGTTTACAAAACGAAGCATTGTTTTTCAGTCATGTTTATTATTATTTAGGAGGTGATTTACACTACCATCTGTCCCAGCATGGTGTTTTCACTGAACAAGAAATGAGGTTCTATGCTGCTGAAGTCATATTGGGCCTTGAGCATATGCACAGAAGATATGTGGTATACAGGGACCTGAAGGTCGGGTGAAGAGCCAAGCATTTTCTTAAAACGTTTCTGTTTTTTTATTTTGTCAGTTCATACATGAACAATTATTCAATAAGATACAAGTTATTTATTTAAAAAATTTGACGAGTTGATTTTGGTTTTCAAGTTTCACCTTCAAAAAGTAAAATAAATAGTATTCACAAGTAAGCATATATCAAAATATCAATTAGCTCTTCATTTTTCTAATATTTATACAAAAACTCCTTATTTAGCAAAATGTATCCATGCAAAACATTTTTACTCCTGGTAACAGCATAGTTTATGTTTCTAATTTTATTTTTTAGTTCCTTATAGTTAACAATTTCTGTTGACTTGACTTAATAACAGCCAGCAAACATTCTTCTGGACGAGCATGGACACTGCCGAATATCGGATCTTGGATTGGCGTGCGATTTTTCCAAGAAAAAACCACATGCAAGTGTGTAAGTGAAATTTTCTGGAAAATTTTGAAATATGCTGTATAAATTTATTTTACTTCTAAGTACATATTTTCAAAATTCTTTGGTGTTTGTGTATTCTTCCAGGGGCACCCATGGGTATATGGCCCCTGAAGTTCTGTCCAAAGGCACAGCATATGATTGCAGTGCTGATTGGTTCTCTCTTGGCTGTATGCTGTACAAGCTGCTCAAAGGGTAGGATTTTGTTTTCTGCTATATTAAGTTGACAGTGAGATTTGATAATATTTTTTTCAGTAGGTAAAAATACTGTAGTGTTAAAACTGTACATTTCCAGGTCTCACTTCTCAGCTATTGATGATCAAGCGTTTAGTAATATTAAGTAGAAAAACAGCTGCTAGTGATCAAGACTTCAGTTATAGTAAGCAGAGAAATTATAGTGTTGAAACTTTATAGCTCCACACTTAATTTCTCAGCTACTAGTGATTAAGACTTCAATATACAGTAGGAAACACAAATCTATGTAATGCTGATAATCATGTAGCCTGTTGTATATAGCCTAAGTAATAATTTTGTTCTTTGTCCGTAACAAAAAAAACTAATGTGATGAGTAATTCGTAAAGATTTAAAGAAACTATAGTCTGAGAAAACGTTTGTTTTATTATTAACTGATCATTTAAGGTTACAGTTGGCATAAATATGCAATAACAAATGACCAGCATAATAACAGAGTTCTTATCCTTAGTTGTAGTTGAACTTGTTTACAATCCAAGTCTGTTCATTTATCTTTCTCCTTTTCCACATGTTTTTTCCATGTTAAAGTGATTTAACAGCCTTGTGATTAAAAAATATCATTACTGTCTAACATGAACCACAATAGTGGTTCATAATAGGGTTCGCACAGGAAGTTGGTCAAAACTGTAATAGAACATCTGAACAAAAATGACCTTAAAAAAGCAGATTATTCTTGAAAACCATCCTGTTCAATAGTTAAGACCACCTAAACATTGATAATAAGCAAAATAAGTGATTTCATGATTGTTAGACAAAATCAAAATGTGCCCATTTGTTTATATTGTTATTATTCTTATTATTGTTTTACAAGGTTACAGCAAAATTGGCTGGGTATTTTGCACCAAAATCTAGACAAATATGCTATATTAAATGTTGCAAGTGTCCATGACCTGTACAAAAGTTGATTATTTTTCATTGAAAGTTGATTGACATGGTTATAAATACATAATAGATGTGATGTTGTTATGAGTGGCTGCCTTTGTACTCTACGCTTGTTAAATGCGTGTTTACATTAAACAGGAAACCTCAGGCACAAAGTTACCTGGTTCAGTAAATAATGGTTGGGTGGAAAGAAAGAAATACAGCAGTAAACTATTGAAAAACATGAAAAATTCAACTGAACACATATGCAAGTTTATAGCTTAAAATGTATTCTCCATAAATGGACATAAAAACACGTAAGAAACAAGATAATTAAAAATTGTTTATTTTAAAAAGGGGAATAGGAATTTTCAAACAAAAGTACATGAACAAGGTGAATCAAAATGCAAAAATTTTATTTTGATACCTACAACTAGTGGAGTCAAAATAGGGATTTGTAGCTTGGGAATATAATGTGAACACTATTTTAAGCCTAGTTTGTTTACTTTTTTTTTAGTCCCTAGTTGTAGGCTTGAAAATATAATCTGCATTTTGATTCAACTTGTTTGTGTACTTTTTTGACAACCCCTACTCCCCCATTTTAAATTAACAATTTGTGATTATCTTGTGTTATTGAGTTTTGCTATATATTGCACCTTCTATAAATTTTCTGCAAGATATTTTTTATGGCTTATCAAAACTGGCAACTGACATTGTAAAGCAAAGACCTTTTCTTTATAGTGAATGTAAACTGTATCACATTACATAAGTATTTTTTTTTCCATTTAGACACAACCCATTTTAATATATGACAAAATTACCATAGCATTAAGAACAATATATGACGTTCTTAATGCTATGATAATATTTCTATGAAAACTACTCATTATGTCATATATTGTTCTTAATACTATGATAATATTTCTATGAACACAACTCATTATGTCATATATTGTTCTTAATGCTATGATAATTTGTCTATAAACACAACTCATTTTGTCATATATTGTTCTTAATGCTATGATAATTTGTCTATGAACACAACTCATTTTGTCATATATTGTTCTTAATGCTATGGTAATTTGTCTATGAACACAACTCATTTTGTCATATATTGTTCTTAATGCTATGATAATTTGTCTATGAACACAACTCATTTTGTCATATATTGTTCTTAATGCTATGGTAATTTGTCTACGAACACAACTCATTTTGTCATATATTGTTCTTAATGCTATGATAATTTGTCTACGAACACAACTCATTTTGTCATATATTGTTCTTAATGCTAT